TACAGCTCACCAATTCCTGCCCCGAATCCTTCTCCCAAGGGATAGGGGACCCTCCCAAACAGGATGTGTGGCCAACTGGGGGTCTTGCAGGAGGACGGGTAGAATAAGCTACGGTCACCCTTCCGTCGATGGAAGAGTGCTTCCGTCAAGAGAGAAGGGTAGGGGACAGGCCGTTACGTCTTCACGGGGGAGAACGTCATGTTCGCGACGACAAGGTTGCCAAAACAGCCTGCTGATAGGGAGCCATCCTCGTCTCAGCTGTGACGACTGCAGGTCCTCTGCGTGTGGTCATATTCGACGCTCATCTGTATTCCCCATGTCACGTCTTCCGCAATTGCAGAAGAGAATATTGTGCCAATCTCACACAGTGGATGGTGGTCATGGTTCACAGTTGGGCAAAGAACATGCACCACTAGAAGACTTTTTGCACACACTCACCCCATGGCAGCCGCTATGCAAGTTCCAGCACTGGGGACGCCATTTCACACAATATGCGGTAGCAAACTCAGGTTTGACCGCTCACACAGAGAGAAGCTGGTATTCAGCCCAGATCCGCGAATGTGTCTGTACAATGAATCTCGGTGAGGTTGCTTCGTTCACGCTCCTAGGGGTCAAGCCGACCCATGAAGCTGCCTCATACGGAGCCACACCAACGGTCCGTCAAACTCAGTAGTTTCTACTCTGACAATGAAGGACAAGTCCTCAGGTGGGGGAAAAAGGCCTTTGCTCACACCTGCTAGTTTAGAACCTTCAACCAGGGCTGCTGAGGATCGAACCCAGGACCGTCTACCCCAAACCACAGACCCTTCCCAAACTGAACACATCTTAGATGCGTACCTCCGTGTGTGAAGAGGCTGTTAATAGACAAGAAGGTCATTTCTAGATGTCTCAGAGTCCCTAGTCCAGCATCCTTTTGGATGCCTTCCTTCTTTGCCTTTTGCAAGTACTCCCCGGAATGGCGGATACGCTGGTACAGTTCGTCTCTGGGCACAACTGCCCTTCCTATCCCCCTATTGTCTCAAGGGCTCTTGGGAATTTTTTAGACAGTTGTATTTTGAAGGAAGTGAAGGGGGGGGAAGGAAGGTTAGTTCATTGCTTCTTTGTCAAAATTATTAATCTGAAATTTGATTCTCCACAGTTTAGAGCTAGGTGTCAGAACAGGGTCACAGGTTGCAGAGAAGGGGATAATTCCCTACCTCAGGACTCTGCAAACCCTGAAAAATCATCTGACCCCAGATAGCCCAACCTTATTAGTATTTGGATGGGAGACCACTAAGGAAGTCCGGGGTTGCTATACAGAGGCAGACAATGGCAAACCACCTCTGAATGTCTCTTGCCCTGAACCCTGAAGGGTCGCTATAAGTTAGCTGTGACTTGATGACAATAAGGGTGGGGGAAAGGACATTGAGAAAACTGTATGTCACAAGTTAAAAGTTTCCGGACAGAACTGGCTGACGAGTCTTGAATTTAGAAACCTCTTCCATACAGCCAGCACCCTGGTTTTGAAATTATGGGCATGCGTATCATTAAACGTGGCCCGGTTCCCACATATTTGGCTCTACAGCTTTCTGGCTAAAAACGGAGCTCCGAATTCAGCATCCGAAACAGCCTTTCCTTTATTATTGGTCTGTCATTTCAGACAGAACCCTTTTAGAACCGGTTCCCTACCGGAATATATTTGTAATTTCAGACACAAGCGCTTCTGTCCCATTTAGGAAACGGGGCTGAAGCGTTTTACCTGTTAACCGCTTCCAAGTAGTCTTCAGTTTCCTCTCCCGGTTCTGATGCGCTTTCCCCCGCTGTTTTTCGCCTGCATGTGCGATCAACCCCATTGGAATGCCTGGAGTGTTTTCTTATAGTGCTATAAAACGAACGTTTTAAAAAAGAAGAAGCCCAAATATTGCCCGCGCGGGCAAAAAACGGCGGGGGGAAAGCGGGAAAAAGCGATGCAGTCTGAAATGGCAAACCATTTCTTTAAAAGCAGCTTCTTGCCTTTAAGAGAATAGTCTAAACATAAAACGGTTGAAAGTCTTGTTCTCCAGTGCTCAGCATAGTTTCAGGGGGCAGCCATGCTGGCCTGCGGTAGCCAAATTCGAGTCCAGCAGCACCTTAGAGACCAAGAGATTTTCAGGATAGGACCTTTCGAGAGTCAGAACTTCTTGTCTAATGAAAGGAGTTCTTGGCTCTCAAAAACGTATACCCCGAAAATCTTGTTGGGCCTCTAAGGTGCTGCTGGACTCAAACCGAGACGTTCAGCACAGCTCCTTAAAGACACAGTCCCCTTGTGGCTGATGAAAACACGATTAAGCAAATGCTCCTCATACGAATAAAACCAATCGAGAATCCACTTTGAGTCAGTTTCATCAGTAGGCCTATAGTTGCAGTTTTAGTTGACCGACCTGGCAGGGGGTGGGGGAATATTTTAACAGAAATAAAGGCTTGTCTCTTTTGAGGCTCTTTCACTTCTGGGCATTTTATTATCCTAGAAAATTTTAAGAGTGATTCACGATGGCCTATCAAAGAGCGGCATTTATTCGATT